ATATCATAGTAACAATAATTGGTAGTACATAAGATTGTACCACGATGTTATATATGGATAATTTTTAACACTATGCTAACATGACCATTGGATGCATTTTATAAATTTCCCCAATTTAATTTAGTCAATTGTATCTCTTTAATTTTAAATCGAAATTCAAAATTTATGCATTGAAAAAGTATATTAGTCGTATTTTTTAAAATGACATCTACTTTAATATATTATGAACTAAAATTTGGAAATTTGTAACACTAGAGTATTCTCTTGAGGGTGTGAATTAGGAAAGCCACCTTTTTAGAGTACGAGAGCTCTCGGGTGAGGATGAATTATGTGGAAACGGATATCATGCATAACCTTGTGGTGAGTAACTATGCATAATCAATCATTATCCGTCATATCATCGCCCCTTCTCTCTCATGGAAAACCTTTAATTTTCCGCTTTAATGTTTAACATACGATTTCTCCCTCATTTTAAGTCGTAATTGAATTTTTTTGCACAGTTAGATCATATTAATTGTGCTTTTCAAAATTATATCCACTTTGATATATTTTTGGAACATAACAAATTGAGCCATTTTTTTACTAGTATATACCGTATGGATTAACTGGAATTAAATACGAGCATACCACATGATATGAAAAAGCTTATCATGGTGGTATGAACATTCTAAGAATGTAGGATAATTGAATACATGATTGTGGGAGTATACTAACTATCATTTATGACTTTTAACATTGTGTACCACAAGATACCACCCCATACCAGGGTGGTATTTTTTGGTCTTGTATTTTGTTCATCCAGAAATTTGTCGATCCAATAGATCATTATGAACTCTTTTGTTCTGCGAAAAAAATTCAAATTCGACTAACAAACGAAGAAGATACCATATGGTATGTAGTTGGTAACGAGAGGCAAGAAATTTTTTTTCCAAAAAATATTGAAAATGGATCTCATTTTGTAGAGCACAAGGAACTCAATCCATTTTTGCAAAAAAAAAAAAACGAGTTAAAATGAAAAAGATATGAGCCGATTAAGAAAATAAGGAAAAATAAAAATGTATCATTTTTAGATCTGAATTTTCTGGGCCAACTTTTTTTTTTCTTACAAAAGATAATCATATATTGATTCAACGAAAAGATAGTTACATCCTGGAGTTCAGCTAGGTCTTAAATTCAAAGAAACGACTCAAAGTCGAGTACAAAGAAAGGGTCATTCTAGCCACAACATTGGCTACCCTATTGTTACACCGACCTACCAATCGGAACACTAAAACCAGTCTAGACGCTAAAATAATGCACAATTTCTTCAAGAACAACACCCATCCGGTTATCTCTAGTGTTAGCCTGATTGATTTTGTCAATGATCACCTTGGCATCACCTTCGAATATGACATCCGTTAAGCTGAGCTCTAGACACCATAAAATAGTCTCTCTGAGCACAAGCAATTCCACTACCATAGGGTCATCAATCAACTGGAATTGAACCCACTTAGCCATGAGGATCTCCCTAACCGGGTTCGCAAGAATCACCCCGCCTACCGAATGAGAGCCACTCCTAGTGGCCCCATCGCACATACAAACAACCCTATTAGCCCCCTACTGGACCCAGATAGTGTAGAGCATGCGAAGTAACCTGAGGAGCACGGGTGGTCGACAAACTAACCCATTCCTCATACTGCTGATTAAATTAACGCATCAACGCCGGGATCGCAACTGTTTGTCCTCAAAGACAACACAATTACGAGCCCGCCAGATCCGCCAGAGGACAACCACAACCGCTATGAACAACGTCGGTTGATTAATCAATGCTAGCATCCTCTTAAGAAATAAAGGAAAGGTATGCCGGGGAAATCCCTCTCCCAAATACTCCAGACCAGTTAAGTCCCAGATGGCCCGTGCCACCAGGCAATAGAGAAATAGATGTTCCATCGATTCAGAGCTATCCCAGCAAATCGGGCACCGGGGATTCACTGAGACCTTCTTTTCAATGAGGGCTTCAGAAGTTGGAAGGGCTTGATTGAGGATCTTCCAGACAAAAACTTTCAACTTTGGGGGAATATCAACATCCCACGAATGAATCAAGCTAGCCTTATCCATCCAGCTAGCCATCGATTTTTCATCTACCCTCCTCCTATCCATTGAGACAACTAAATGGTAAGCCGACTTGACTAAGAAAACTCCATCAATTGTGTCATGCCAGATCAGCCTGTCCTCCACATTTTGACACGAAAGAGGAATTGCTTTGATGGCACGACAGGTTGACGGGTCAAACCATTTGCGAAGTTTGAGGTCACACCACCGCCCCTCCCCCTAACAAATAACCTCAGCTACCAGCGGGTCACCCCCGTCCGGTAAGATCTGCGGATTATACCTAGAGGGATCAAGTTGGAACCGAGGTATCCAGTTGGAATGAAGCAGGGAAACATATTGACCATTACCAATTTGCCATCGTAATCACATCTCCAACAACTGTCGTCCATACAGGATGCTTTGCCAACCCCACGAAGGCCAGGAGCGAGCCTTAGCTTTGAGAAAGGACCCATTAGGGAAATACTTTCCTTTGTAAACCTTGGCCAAAAGGGACTGAGGTTCATTAAGGATACACCAACCAATTTTGGCTAAAAGAGTCTGATTAAAATGCTCGAATCAGCGAAATTACATCCCCCATCATGTTTACTTCTACACATATTGCGCCAGGACACCCATCGCACCTTCGAATGGCCCTCATCAGCACCCCACCAAAACTGGGCCACATGTTTGTCCAAAAGACGACACAGGGATATAGGCAGCTTGAAACAGGACATCACATGCAACGGCAATGCCAAAGAAATTGATTTAATCAAAGTTTCCTTAGCCGCTCAAGATAATGTCCTTTGCTTCCACCCCTGGAGTCGCTCTAACAACTTTTCCTTCAAATATTGGAATATAGTCATTTTCGACCGGGCAATCAGCGTCGATAAACCCAGATACTTATCATGGACCCCTACTGCCCCACGCCTAAAATCGCGTTAAATTTTTTTTGATCAGGCAGAACAATATTCTTACTAAAGACTTTGCCAAATTAACTTGTTGGGCCAACTTAAATATGTTTTTTGAGATTTTATTATTTATTAGTCCTAAGACTACTATATGGAGTTTCTTGGCCACAAACTCCTTAATCCCTCTTTCCCTACTCTCTGCGTAGTCCACGGAGGGAGAGTTTGGTAATTTCTCTATGCATTCACTGCATACTTGGACCGGGGACAATAAAGCACAGATAGTTCTATTAGCAATATAATTAATTAGGTAAACACAGTATGGGCCATGCAAAGGTGAAAAGGGTTAAGTGAGCCAATTACACATATGAAATTAATTAAATACAGATATTAAACGTGTTATACGGGTTTATACGTGTTTAGTACGTAAGTCATCAAACGAACAAGAAAAAATAAAACGGGTTAACAAAAATACGAATACAAAAGTTATAAACGGATACAATTTTTACGGTCATATATATTGTATTAAACGAAATATTTAATAACTATTCTGTCTTTTTCTCCACCTATCCAGTTCTTCCTAAGGCTTACTTCCTCCAATAATGTATATAAAAATACGGTGGAGTGGCGTACATTGCTCGCAGTTGATGAACATATATGAGGCGTATGCAATATTAATTTCTATTTACTTATGTGACCACATTGAGTTAGTTAACAATAACTATGGTGTCTTATTATGTTGGTGGTGGGTTTGAGCCTTTAGGGGTTTCGGGTTGTAATAAGTGAACAAATATTTTTTACACTTTTGAGAAATTACAAGTTATTTAGACAACAAACAATTTTAGATTTCAAAAATATGTTTATCAAGTTCAAATCTTACCAAGGTTATTAATACTATGCATCTCAAATTATTTTATTTTATTTTTATTATAACAAATGAGATCAAACTCCTATAGTCAATTTGAGAATCATCCTCACTAAATCTTATATTGCTCTTCTAAATAATGAATCTCAATTATTAGCATTTTTAATATTTAGGATCCAGTTTTAATTGAGGATACTACCCAATCAAGTAGTAACATTCTTATATTTAGGATCCAACTCGAGTTGTGAATACTATCAAATATGAGTTTGTTGTCTTGGATCATCAAGAAGTCAAGATTTCTAAGAATTATCATTGAAAAGCTATTAAAAAATAGTGGAAGAGTGATACCTCCTCTCCCTCATATCTTATTAAACGAAGGAATGAAGTATTTAAAAAAACAAGAAGAAGGAGAAGAAGAAGAAGAATTTCCACATCGAGGTTTGGTGATTACATAGCAAATTCCATAATCATTGATGGAATGAGGCAATTTCCTTTATTGTGAAGCACCTATGGATGATGAATGTAGCGGAGTTCATGATGAAGATTGTTGATTAAGAGGTGCTACTGATTATTTTTGCAATTATAATGAGGCAAATTCTTTTAGTAAAAGTGATATCGTTATTTGTTAATTCGCATGACATTAACATATAATCCTAGCACAAATATAATGGAATTGGAGTTAACTGAAGTTTAAAATTTGAAAATTTGTTAGTTAGTATCATCATATTGCAACCGGCCAACGGGTTGGGCTACAATCTAGTCAATAATTAGGGATTATTCACCGTATGTGGAGCCGAACTCTCTATCAGATTCAGGCGGCGGCACAAATACTGACCCGCGGAACTTCTTTTTGAATGGTCGATTTTCTTCTATTTAAAATACCAAAAAATGTTCTTTTCTTCCATCCACGAAACTTCTGCTATCTAGCTAGCTTAATATGATATATTTACTTTTACGACAATTAACAGCTGCTCGTGTAGGATAGATTGACACGAATGCAAGATTAAGTCATATATGTAGGCTGCTTAAACAATTAGTTTATCCAGAGACTTCCCGCTCCCCAAATTAAAGGTTCTGTTGTTCATCCATAATTCAAATTAATTAATCTTTTCTTAATCACCCTCACTATCTATATAATAACATCAACCCCGGCCCTTATAGCTCCCATTCACTTACCAATTTGACAAACATCGAATCTAAGCATTACCCTGTCTCGTCACTGCAGCTGAATAGATATAGTCTGGGGAGGAACAACTCACCCTCATCGACCATGGCTGCCACTTCCTCTGTTGCCAATTTTGCCAGGAGGTGAGCATACTTTTCTAATGCATCTTAATCAATTTCATCATACCTTCTCTCAATTATTCAATACATTCGGTAAAGTGTACAAACTCACATCTATGGTAGATTTAATTAGATAGGTAATTCTTATTTACTGATATAATTAAAACGAAGTACAAATTTCGCCGTTTGAATCTAATTTAAAGACGATGATAATTTTGTTCAAACCTACGTGCATTTACTTACTTAATCAAATTGGATTGTGTACAGAACCTAAATACACAATAAATATAATGGTTTTTTTATTTATTCCGAGTGATGTGTGTTTGATGGGTTTATACTCATATTCATTTAATTTGGAGGGGTTGTGTTTGTCTCGTAAGATTTCAAAATCTTGTGCTCAAATTTAATTTTTTGCATGTAAGTCCTAAAAATATCGAATTAAAATTAGAGTTTAGTACCTAACTATACCTTTCTTAAATTTCGATAGCTATTTTTTAATGTTTTACAAGCGTGTCCAAATTTATGTGTAGTTGAAAGAATTTGAAGTAAAAGCGTGTCCAATTTTATATAACTCAAATAATTGCAGGCTAGAGGGCAAGGTAGCCTTGATAACGGGAGGAGCAAGCGGGATCGGCGAGAGCACGGCCAGGCTCTTCGCCAAGCACGGCGCCAAAGTCGTAATCGCCGATGTCCAAGACGACCTCGGCCACTCCCTCGCTAAAACCATCCAATCCGACTCAACCTACGTCCACTGCAACGTGGCAAACGAGGCGGACGTCCAAAACGCAGTAGACACCGCCGTTTCGATGCACGGCCAGCTGGACATCATGTACAACAACGCCGGCATCACGGGGACCTACAACACGGCCATCTCGTCGCTGACCCGCGACGACTACAACAAGGTGTTCGACGTCAACGTGTACGGAGCCATGCTGGGCGCCAAGCACGCGGCGCGTGTGATGGCCCCGCGGAAACGAGGTTGCATCCTGTTCACGTCCAGCGTGGCGTCGGTTAGCTTTGGGGAGGTGCCGCACCCGTACTCGGCGTCGAAGTCGGCGGTGGTGGGGCTGGCGAAGAATCTGTGCGTGGAGTTGGGGAGGCACGGGATAAGGGTGAACAGTATCTCCCCCGGCGCGATCCCGACGCCGATGTCGGTGAGGGCGACGGGGCTTGGCGAGTTGAGGAAGGTGCAGGAGGCGGTGGCCGCGGTGGCGAACTTGAAAGGGGTGATGGTGGATACGGATGACGTGGCGCATGCGGCTTTGTATTTGGGGAGTGACGAAGCGAGGTATGTCAGTGGGCTGAATATTGTAGTTGATGGTGGGCTTTGCTTGAACAGTCTTATCTTGGGCCAGCAGGCACAGGACTAAAATCACATTTAGTCGATAGAGGAATTATTAAAATAAGAAGAGGGAAGAGAAGAGGAAAAATATTATTATTATAATAAGAAGGGAGTATAGCATCAAAATAATTTCTCCAAGTCAATATATAATGGGAGAGGACAAGTAATAGTTCATTCACCAACGGGAACTAGTACATGTAAGCAAGGATAATAACGAAATATTGTTACTTACTTATGCAAAACACATTTAATCCAATTTTCATAATATCTAAACTTAGTATTTTTCTCATCGTCTTGGGGATGAGTTAAGGTGGCAACTAAAAAATAGTTGTCACCATGTCAACCAACATCTGTACCATTCATTCCCATTATTTTTAATCTAATAGTTATAATTAATTAGGGGTAGTGACTCGTCCCGAATATCACAATTAATTCCCGCCTAAGGTCCAAGTACAAGGCAAGTATGTTTAAATATCGACTCGGGCCGGTCCGTGTACCCCTACTTCAGTTGGTTGAAACATTATATAGCGAATCGACATTGGTTGAAAAGTTAGCTAATTAAAGTAAAGCAAAGTAAAAGTAAATGGTTTTGAAAGCTCTATGTGAGAAGGATCACTCGGGTGTCACTTCCCCCTAACTACTACCATGGCATGTGAATCGAAGTGATTGCTATGGGCAAGTTGACCACGAACCACTAGGAAACGCAACTATGGTCGTAGACCACATTCTCAATTGCCAAACCAAGGGATACATTATAGGCTACTCAAGTAGCCCTGTTAGTTAAGGCAATCGATGGTTGACTTACTCTCTCACTCAACCCAATGGTTGGTCGGCTTAATCGTGCTTAACTAAATTGTTAATTCAACATAGAGGTTTGACCTACATTAACCTAGATAGGTGGCTTAAAAATCCCTAGGAATCCCAACTCAATTGAGCCTCCCTTGAAAGGGGGGTTTCCCTCTAATCTAGATTAGAATGACCAATTAGATTGCTAAGCACAAACATGAACAATCAACATGAAAAATACCTTAATCGTTGAATTAAACAACCCCGTGGAAGAGGCTTGCACCGACCCTATAATACAAGTAATATCCCCACCAAACTTCGAGGAACTGCTTAGCAAGGACCCATTTGCAGTGTCTCCTTGCCAGACCAAGGCCACATCGACATCGGTCCCTCTTGGTGGACGCGATGGTGGTCAGTCGATACGGTTATATTTGGTTTGGGGCAATGAGACAAGAGAAGAAACGAAGAAGAGGTCTCGAGGGTGGAGAATTCAGCTGCATCAAGTGCACGAGCCTTCATCACCTGCCACACCAGATGCTCGTGACTTGAGACCCCACCTCATAGATGAGAACCTCAACTTCAAAGAGGTACGAGCATGGACCGAAACTTAGGAGCTACCGTCCGGCTTACGACGTAAAAGAAGCGCTTGTTGGGCGGCAACCCAACTAGTCGGTTCGCATTTCTTTCCCTATCTTTCCTCGGTTGAGTCGGTTTTGTTCTTTGATTTTAGAGTCAATAACTCAACCTTTGTGAGATTTTGTGTGGTGTTTGTGTTTCGACTACTCTCTCCTTCTAGAATGCACTGCCTGCCCCGCCCACCATCATTCACCCTTGATCTGGTAACTTCGTTCTACCCTCCTTATCTTTCCTCCATTGAGGACAATGTCGTGCTTAAGTGTGGGAGATGTTCGATTATGTATGCGTGTTTATGTTTGGCTATATGTGTGTGCTTGGAGCCTAGTCCACTGTCCAAATTTTGATTTGAGGTCTCCAAGCACGTGTTCCTTGCAATTTCCTGCTCATTATGCTTTGAATTGACAATCTTTATAGTAATATGCAACCTAGGGAGGTAGTGTAGCACTATGGATGTTGATGCATTTAAGAAGTATCATTTCTTCTTCATATTGTGCTGGTTGATTGTGTGAATTAGTGATCTTAGGACCCTTGAATTGCGTGGTATTGTGGACTCTCTACCTGTCATGGACTCCTGTATCATGTTTTGAAAAAGGGTGCTCTAAATTGTGCTTTTAAAATAACGTCTCCCGTGCGAAAAGGGTGAAAGTGTGTAAGGGGAGACGGGAATCCGTTCCCAATTTCCACCTAATACCTCCAGCCCCCTTACATTTCCTTCCCCCGCACGAGGCTCGAGACATCTGCTCCCGGCATGACCGGTAAAAGCTGCTCCTGGCATGGCCAGTAAGAGCTCGGCTCCCTCAAAACATTTAATAGGTGGGAGCCCCATTTTCTAAAAATAACAGGTTGGGACCCTTGAAAAAGAAATAAACAACAAAAAAAAGGAAAAAAAGAAGGGTTCCAACCATCTTCAAGAAGAAAATAGAGCACCTTAAAAAGAAAGTGAGTCCATGATCTTTCTGTTTTTGAGAGTCCCTTCGTCCACGATTCATTTGTCCTCTGATCACTATTTGCCATGATGCCGACTCGAGACTAGAATTCTCGCCGAAGAAGCTAGGAGGTGCCTTGTGCGTTGGTTGACCTCGTAAGCTGCTAAATGATTTAGGAAGTCCGCTACCGATGATCAGGGTTGCGTGTTCCTGTAAAGATTTGGAGAGTTGCATTGGTTTAAGTCAGGTTTGCTTGGGGACAAGCAAACAGTTAAGTGTGGGGGGGATTTGATGACTCGATATTTGCACATGTTTTCCCCTTTGTTTCTTGATTGTTTGAGCTTTAATTATTGGGTCTTTGGGCTATTTTATGCTAGGTTGTGTTCCTTTGTCATATTTCAGGTCCTATCACATAAAGTGAAGCATAGGTGCAAGTTTCAAGTCAATCAGAGATCAATTGGCGATTCGGGAGAAGAAACTCGGGCATTACCTGAAGAAGAATTGATTTATACCTTACTTAATGGACAAAGAATCATGCAATCTTGTCATGAAAAGAAAGATGACGAGACTACGAGAGTCTGGGATCAAACGGTGATTGATTCGGAGTCTAGACGAGGGAGAAACGAAGCATTAAATATAGGGGAACAGGTTAGGCAGTAAAAACACGGTCATACTACCCTAAAAACACTTCCGTGTTTTATCTGGCACCCGCTAGTGTTTTTACTGCCAAGGGCGTGTTGTGAGGGCTGCTGGGGGCAAAACACGGGCGGGCAAAAGTAAAACACGGCCGTGTCCTCGACCGTGTTTTGCCCAGAATCGGGTTTTTGAGGCAGATTCAAGCCAAAGGAAAGGGAGACATGGGTTTTGGATCCCAAACACCCAAGGGACAAACCCTAGAGAGAGAGAGCGACTTGGGATCATTCTTGGAGCTATTTTGGAGGATTTCTTCGCCATTGGAGCTCGAGAATCAAGCTTGGAGATGGAGATTGAAGATATAGATCAGGTTTCTGCAGTCTCTCTCTTCAATATGGAGTAACTTCCCTTCACTTAGGTTTTGAGGAACCCTAGTTCAATGTGTTAGGATCTTTCTTGTATGAAGTTTTGGATGCTATATTTTTTTATTATAATCGATTAAGGTATGATTTATTGAGTCATTGAAGCCTGATCATCTTCTCTTGATTTCTGCTTTAACCTATGATAGATAGAATCTGATTAGGTTAAGAGAGCTTCCTTGATTGATAGTGGTGAATTGGTTGTGCGAGAGTCAATCAATTCACTGCTTTGTACTGGAATTCATTCCAGTAGTGGAGATCTGTGTGAATCGCCTTAGCAGTCTATCCCGGGGAAGGCTAGTCGCTTGGCGGGTATTTTGTATAAGAGGGCTTGGTCAGCTTAAGAGATTCCAAGCTAATTTAGGATCTTCCGCAGTTTAATCAACAGTAGATCAACCAAAGGTAATTGCAACTTGGAACTAATTGAGGAGCTAGGGGGAATCATACATAAGTGAGTTCCCAACTTGTAATTAGTAGAGTAGTTTAATAAATCAATCCTTAATCTAGTTTGCTAGATAATGAACTGAAGCTGAGTAATAGTAACTCTAGAGACCCGTGGATTCGATATTTATTACTTGTGCCACTATACTGCATTCCCTTTCATTGGTTACACTTGGCCATTGTTAGGAGTTGTGTCGTAGCGAGTAAGGTAGTTTGCCTCCCCCCCCCCCTCCCCCCGAACAATAACAAGGATGACCGGTCTCTAGTTTGGTTGGTTGGTTTGTTAACCTGATGACGGAAAACTACCCAAAGTCATTGGGTCATCAAAATATGTATAATTAGAAGCTACAAGGAAATTAAGGTTAATGAATTCGAACTCACGTGGGCTTCTTAGCGGCCAACGCCAACAATTCCTCGATCCAAGTGCGGAGGAATATGTATGTATTGCCCGCCTCCACGCGGTAATCGCCAAATCGAATCCTAGTGGCTTTCAAGACCAGGGTATTGTGACTATCGTCGTCTGTCATCTTTGAAAATCTTGTTCAAGACAGCGGCGGAGGTGCTTCCATCCTGTGGAGAGAGTGATGGTTTTGTAGTAATGGACGGCGACGGCGGAGGAGGAAGAGGGCGAGGGCACCTCTGCTGCTGCAAGGTCAGATTGGTGATTGAAGAATAGTAATCTAACGCCCCCATCGTCGCTAATTCGCAACTCCTCGGCCTCGCCGGATTGCTGTAGCAACGAGGAGAGGGAGAGGCCTTGCCCTTCCACCGCGCCGCCAATTTTGGACTCCGGGACCCTCAAGAATTGCGTGATGTGATTGGGTGGGAGGCGTACCATCTGGGAGAAGATGTGGAGAGTGGAGGACGGTGGCGTTGGTGGAGACGGGGATCGCGGCGGGGGATTGGAGAGGAAGAATAGTCGCCGCCTAATCCGCATTAATCGTGAACAAAATATGGTGGATTGATGATTGGAGAGGAAGAATAGTCGCCGCCTAATCCGTACCATTCGTTGGTGGCTAGATGGATAATAAGTGGTGGTCGAGAAAGTGTACAGAGGTGGGGATGGGTGGCCCGACGCTAGGAGCGAAATAAAATATATTTTTTTTTAATTTCCACATCATCAAACTAATGGTCAAAGGGTCTAGTTGACTGCCACGTAAGATGCTTTTACCGGAATTGGACGGCCGGTGACTAACGGTGAAATGATTTGTAAAGTTCGTGGTGAATAAGAAAGAAAAGTAATTCAGGTGGCAAACGTGAAAGAATTGTATAATTTGAGTGATCAAACATGTAATTTAGACTTTTTTTATGAATGAGTCATTGTTTCCTCTATTTTGGATTCTGGCCACAACCATCGGAAGGGAGGTAATAGCTGTCCTTCCACACTGACATAAACAATTAAATTAAGTAAGTAATAAGTAGTAACGAAATTATTTAATTATATCTCTTGTCCACCCTTTCCATTCTCTCGAAACTAGATTTGACGATAGGGATAAGGGAATCAAGAGTGTCGGTTAGCTTGACAACCCTTTTAAGGGGCTCAAGATACAGTTCATAACCATGGATCATGCATAGGGCTAAAAACGAGCCGAACTGTGTCGAGCTTTTGTCTAGCTCAAACTCGAGCTTGGCAAAGAATACCTCAGCTCGAGCTCGAATCGAACTCGGTACGAACTATAAATTTCAAGCTCATGCTCGGCCCAGAAAAAATTACAGCTCGAGCTCGGCTCAAGATCAACTCGATAATAGCTCATAGACGAGCTCTGCAAGTCGAACTTAATGAGCCCTTTAATCTATTATCAATAGGAAAAGTTTTGTTGTCACTAGAGGTGACAAAACACCTAATGAAAATAATATTCCCTATGGTTGGCCCGGTTTTTAGAAGTGCATTTCGAGTTCAAAAGCTGAAGTAGGGGCCAAACACCTCTAAAAGCTCGGCTTTTGAAAAGCCAAAAAGTGCTTTTGTATAACATAAAAGCAGAAGCTCCGATTTGGAACTTCTGAGAAAAGCTGTTTTGAAAATACAAGATTATCCTTACCATATTTTAATAATATTTCAGAAAATATAAATTCTCATCATTTACATCATTTTAAAAATAAAATAAATTATAAAATCATATTATTTAATATAAAAGAAATCTAACAAGATCGATTTTGACTACTTTTTATTGTTTAGAATTTTTATTCATATTTTATATTATAAGTCCTTTATAGTCATTTTACACAACCTCTTATATTAAAAAGCACTTCTAATAGTTTTACAGCCAAACACTCAACTGCTTTTTTTTTAAAAGTACTTATCTAAAAGCTCCCGCCAGAAGCTGCTTCTGCAAAAGCTACAGCAAGGCCAAACTAAGCTAGCGTCTTCACCCTCCATCTCCCCTGCTTCTCCTCTTCTCTCATGATTCCCGAATCCCGGCCGCTGCTATGAACATCCTCTTTATCACAAGGCATTGGAGAAGCTGCTATGATGAACACTTCTTGCGTTGGAGAAGCAGCTAGTCTTGTTGAACGCTTCGGGTAAATTAGCGTGAGACCCTCTTTATCATCTTCCTTACATGCTACTGCTTCTCCAATGTACACCACTTTCTTCTGCTTTCTATTCAATTTTTTTTTTGTTGCTAAATATTTATATTTTTAGGTAACAAAATCTCATATTTCACTAGAAACTAAGAAACGACCATTGATCTTTGTATTTTTTTTTGTTAGTTGATTATCTTATTGTTTCAATTATCTATTTTGGGGCTTTCCCATACTGTGCTTTGCAGGTTTGAAGCAATTCATGTGAGCTATCCAACTCAAAAATTAAACCAAGGAGTTAAGGGCAAAGGAAGTTGTGGTAGAGTTTCATTAAGAGGTTCTTGCAAATTTAGTTGAGTGAGTAGCAGCGAATACGGTGTGGAAATCAACCGTTGACAATTGGCTTTGTCCAAGTAGAGTTTCGGGGAGAGAAGAAGAGAAATGGTACTTTTAGAAAGAACTCCATGAAGTTGCCGATTGATCTAAAGAGAATTTAGCTAGTTTTTTTGGTTTGTTTGATACTATTTAGTTTATATTGTTAGAGATATTGGATATTTGCCACACTATTTATCTTTTATATTTATAAATACACACCTCATTTTATTATAAATTATTTAATTGTTTTTTGGTTTGCTTAATATCACCACTAATGTATATAGTTCTTGATAACGTATACTCGTCACTAATATTGTCATATGTGATAAAAATAGTAGTCACAAAAGTGTTATTTTGTGACAAAGACCCCATAATGTAAGGTATATAATTGAGCTATAAAAAAAACTTGTGACCAATGTTGTTGCAGTAGAAACGATAACTTTGTCACGAAAATTTGAAATTGTGACACTGCTACTCTCACAAAAACCTCTTTTTATTATAAAAGTACACGCGGAAGCGTGACTCGTTTGTGACAAGTTAAACTAGTGACAATTGAAATTACATTTGGTGATGGAAATAACTCGTCATAAGTATATAGCATTTGTTACAAGCGAAAGTTATCACGATTGAGTACATTTTATGTGACACAAAAAATCCATCACGAATAAAAATATGCATGGTGGTTATACTCTTTAAAAAATGTTACCTAAAATGTTGTTGCATATACTATATATATATATATATATGGGTGGTTCTATCGTACCTTGGGTAAAATCAAAGTTATGAGATACCTTGAGTAAGAAAATGATACCTAGACCTTGAATTAACTGGAGTTTGGAATTTGGTACTATTCCCAAACCCTTTAAGATTAAAAACTTGGTCTTAATTCTATCAATCTCATACACTAAGATCAATTTAAGTAGAAACAAAAATCGACGGTTATGATTCGTCGAAATATATGCAACAAATTACATGCACAATCTTAGTGGTTAGGCTCTATGATTTAGAAAACTAAGACATGGGGTTCACTTATCAAGGGATAGGGTACAATAATATCATGGCCAAAATTCTGATAATTCGAGGTCTAGATAGTGTTTTCGTACTCAGGGTATGTTGTACCCTAGATTTTACCCAAGGTACGATAGAAGCCACCACATATTTTTTTGTTGCAAAAAAGTTAGAAAAGTGTTACCTATTACTTTATACAACACCACCTATAAGAGACAATAGTAAAAGTGTTGCATATAGCATATGCAACACTTTACCCACTTTTTGATTTGTCTCTTACTTGATCAATTAGCTGTGCAAAAATAGCTTTTTTGGCTCGGCCAATAACGGTTGGGAGCCCTAAATATTTATCATGGTACATGACCCTTTTCATACCTAGGATGTCTCCCATTAACCTTCTGTCTTCTTCAAGAACATTAGTACTGAATGAAAGTTCCGATTTGACTAGGCTTACTTGCTGTCCCGAGGCTAGCTCATAGGTGTGTAGCAAATCCCTTAGAGCTTCTCCTTGTTCTTTCTTGTTCTCGAAGAAAAATATAATGTCATCCGCGAAGAATAAGTGAGTAATCATTGGACCATTACTACTCACTTTAATTCCTCGAATCTTTCCTTCCTCAACTGCTTATTTTGTGAGGGCTGACAACCCTTCCGCACATAGTAGGAAGAGATAGGGGGAAATAGGGTCCCGCCTGCCTCAGTCCCCTTGATGGTTTAAAGATATGGGTTTGATGCCCATTGATCAGGGCTGCATAACTCACACTAGTAACACAATTCATAACCATTCTTACCCAATCTTCATGAAATCCCAATCTCAACATTATGCCCTCAAGAAACTTCCACTCTACTCGATCATATGCTTTGGCTACGTCGAGTTTTGCTGCTACAAAACCCTTCTTCCCAGTCTTCCTGTTTTTCATCGCATGGCAGCATTCAAAGCCAATCATTATATTATCTGTGATGTTTCTGCCTGGCACAAATGCACTTTGAGTATCAATGATGATTTCATCAAGCACTGCTTTTAAACGATTGGCCAGAACCTTTGACAATATTTTGTAAAGCACTCTGCATAGAGCAATTGGTCGAAATTCCTTCGGAGTGACTGGCTTCTTTGTCTTTGGTATCATTGCTAACAGAGTATGATTTAGGGAGGGAGGAATCTCACCTGTTAGCAGGATTCTCTGTAGTTCTAAGCTTCATATTTTTTAATTTCCCTATACGAAATGAAAAAAATAATTTTACTTAAGTTTATAATGAAAAACTTTATTTTGAAAAACTATGTATTGTATATAATAATAATTATTCAAGTGGATTAGGTGAAGTTCGGGTTGAGTCGGTCGGGTTACAGGTTAGTCGGATTTGGGTCAATTGGGTTCGGGTTAATCAGGTTGCGGGTCAGTCGGGTTTGGGTTAATCGGGTTGCGGGTCAGTCGGGTTGCGGGTTAGTTGGGTTGCGGGTCGGGCGGGTTACGGGTTGTTGAGTTTTAGTCAATTCGGGTTGCGTTCGGGTTGCGGGTAGGGTTGATCGGGCTGGTTAATCGGGTCGGGCTATGTTTTCACACCTATACTCATGATTGCGAAAACAACTGTGGATCAAGCACATGGTATGGAGGGCCTGTGCAAACTTCAAGCCCATGAGTCACCTGTTATAAACCAGTTGGTCCCAATAACTCGAGTTGTTGGGAGAAGGTTATGTTGGATCTTATACAAGTCCATGGATGGTACTTAACCACTTCCTTACACGCCCCCTCAAACGAAAGCTGATCATGGGCTTGAAGTTTGCACAGGTCCGCCATACCATGTGCTTGACAATGATTAATATTGGGGGTCGTGAGGACTTGAACACGTGACCTCAAGGACAAACCAGCTCTGATACCATGTCATAAACCAGTTGGTCCCAATAACTCTAATTGTTGGGCGAAGGTTATGCTGGATCTTATACAGGCCCATGTATGGTACTTAATCACTTCCTTACAGAAAATAATCAACGCAAGCTTAGTTGAGAGTAGGGATGGCAATCAAACCCATACCCACGGGTATCCGACCGCCCCCGACCCAGTCAATGCGGGGAATCCCCGCTTTGACCGGGTATGGGTAAAACCCGCAAAATGTTTGATGGGTATGGCGCGGGTATGGTTTTAGCCTCCCCCGCCCCATACCCATACCCATACCCGCCCCACCAAGAATATTTGTTCACATATAAAAAATATATGGATCAAATAGTAATCTATCAATGATAGTGAGGGTAACTCAACAAAATAATTAGTAGAAATGCAATTGAGTGGCCACCCAAATCAAAACCTAATTCTTTTTCCTCAACTCTCCCTTCACTCTTTCACTTTTTCCTCGTGTTAGCAAGATTATATTAGTTAATTATTGCTTAGTATATGTATTAGAGCTAGGGAATAATGATTTGGATTACATTGTACTCTATTTTATGGATTAAGGGATGTTTTAGTATATGATGCTTTGAACCATATTAAGAATCATTGTCACTTTGTCAACTTCATGATATAGTAGGTGCATTTAATGTTATAATTGAAAATTTTACATGTAGAATTTTAGATATTATAATGTTGAATGTACAGGGCGGGTATTACCCATGGGTACCTGAAACCCACGGGTATGGGGATGAGTTTGCAAAATCTTTCCCCGCATGGGTATGAGGCGGGTATGAGTTTGGATATTTGAAAGCGGGGATGAGAATGGTTTAGACAAACCCTCCCTAAACCTGCCCCATATTCCTAGTTGAGAGCCGATGCCTTCAAGTTAACCCCCAAAGTGAAAGAAAAAGGAAATAAATGAAGCATTGAATACTTTCCGTCGCCTCCACCTTCTCATTCCGGTTAAAAATTAAAAAATGAAAATGATTGTTAACCCAATCACTAAGCGCCATGTGTCCCGGAAGCAGCTAAGGTTGCAACCTCAGTGCCTGCCAAATTCCACCCATACAATTACATACCCATGTTATATTTAACTATTGATGAAGTTATTTTAGTTCAACTTACAAATATATGAGCCCACGTTCCGGAAAAAATTAGGGAAAGCTCCCAGTTGGGTGATACTTATTAGTAGAATAATAGTAGGAAAGGAGAAGGCCGCCTGTCGAGATCGTAGTTGGTTGGCATGGCATTGGCATCCCTCATCCCTGTTTTTAATTTGTCACTTTTGAATTATTGATATAGCCTAGCCCCTGTGATAATAATAATAATTCAGTCAAGTTGCCTATTTCCTATTACATGACGAAATAAAATGTTTCGCCAGCAAAAGTACTTGTTTTCATTTTACTTCGCAACCGATACGTACAGCTGTAGCTTACAATATGTTACTGAAAGAGGAGAGGAAAATGAAAGGAGAAAAAATTTGAGTAATATCTATTTTTTATCCAAATCTTTTTAAGATTTTTTTATATTATTCAAACCTACTTAAATATTTAGAATTAGCCAAACGTTAATTTCCTATTAGCAATTTTGTTAGTAATATTGACTTGGAAACATGATACCGACTTGGAAGAGACACATGAATGTCAACATTCCAAATTTTTAGTATTTTAACTAAGAAAAGAGTTACAAAATATTAATGATGACGTAAAAAATGGCTAATATTTTGATGCATTGCGAAAGATTTGGCTAATTAATAGTATTTTAATGGGTTTGGATAATATAAAAGAATCTGAAAAAGGTTTGGATAAAAAATAGATATTACCCAAAAAATTATGAGAGGCAGAAACTATTCTCAAAATTATTTTATTTTTAGACAATAAATGTACTCAATATTATTTTTTTCTTTAATTCAATGGTGGATATTATTGTGACTTTTTTCGGTTTTCCCCATTGCTCAATATTGCACTCTTGGTGACCAATTTTCACCATATAAACTTAGGTCACACAATTCGTGGGCCTTGAACCCACTTTGCCTCTTTAGAGCGCAAAAATGAGGATTCTAGAAAATTATTTTATAATTTGCAAATTATAATTTTTAAGAAGAGGAATTATGCTAAAAAAATAGCAAACTTTATTATGCAGAGGATTTCATTAAATTTTTAAACCAAAAAGTTTTGAACTCTGAACTAAAACATGGTATCAAACGAAAGAAAACTGGGGCAAAGTAACAACTAGACGAAGAAGACATCGATACGTTGCTTCATAAAAAAAAAAAAAAAGGAATACATGCAATAGAGATCTGGAGAGTGGGGATAGAAGTGAAAATTTTGAATTCAATCAATCCATTTAAATATCTAACTAATCCAATCGGATTGGTGGATTCCTGGACTGCAATCATGGATTGTTTACAGTTCAGTTTAATATCTATATTTTATTATTTGGTATCTAAAATTGATTTTTAAGTTAAAATATCATTGCAAAATAACATTTTGGTACCTAAATTTTTATTATGATATTCAGTGCAAAAAATTTTCATAATTTATATATAGGTCCGATGTCACTTATATCCATGATACAATCCAACAATCCATTTGATTCAGTCCATGAATATATGAATCCACCAATCTATTAATTGAATCCATTTGCCACGTTTAACTACTGAAAGAAAAAAAAAATCAAATAGATAATATTCTATTACTTGTTTACATGAATAACTGTTAACGGCTGCACAAGAACTCGTGGATGTTGAGATATGAATGAGTGTCCAAAGAAGATTCAATATTGTCGGCTATTCTTAAGCTGACTGTAAAATCGATCAAGTTAACTGGCTGGTGGCTCAATAAAACATATTGATTGAACGATGGTTGATTAGGTGGTGATGCATCCGAAATTTTGTAGATCTAAAGTACGATTTGTTTGGTTGTTAAAACTTGGAAAGTTCAGAGGACTAAAGGCATGGTAAAATGAACAGAAAACCGGGGGCCAGGCGGAGAAACTTCAAACTTGGGGTGCGTGGAAGCCGAATGAAGGGTTGGTAATAGTCAAGTCGCAAGTACTTGCCTATGTATTAGAATTAAATTAAAACCGAAACTGATTCTCTTATCAGTAATTGTCTAATTGATGTATTATATTTATGGGTCATAGGTATAATATGCCTTTCTATTATTTAGTTTTATCAAACATGCCCCTCTACTATTTTTTACATCAAACATGCCCTTATACTTTGGAAAAATGATCAAACATGTCCTTATGTTGAAATTTCCATTAAAAATGGTCAACCACGGTTGAACCGAGATTCACACGACCAGACATCGAAAAAATTGGGGGGGGGGGTGAAATGTCAGTTTTTCCTCCTCATTTATTCTCCATGTCTCGTTAAAGTGAAATTATCAGAGGTATTTGGCTATACAAAAGAAACAAAACAATTCTAAAGTAAAATTATTAGGAATATTTTAGACATAGGTGTCGCCCAAACTAAGGTTCGACCATGGTTGATGGTTTTGAATGCAAATATTAATAGAAGAGCATGTTTGATCGTTTTTACAAAGTATAGGGGCATGTTTTATGTAAAATATAGCAGAGGTGTCGCCCAAACTTTATTAGAAGAGCATGTTTGATCGTTTTTACAAAGTATAGGGGCATGTTTTATGTAAAATATAGCAGAGGGGCATGTTTGATAAAACTGCATAGTAGAAGGGCATATTATACATATAACCCTATATTTATTTAGTAAATGCTTTGATCGGCAGTGAGAGAAATCTTCTTTTTCTAACCTTCGTCCAATTACACACAAGTCTATTTATTTTTTTGCTTAATGTGTATCTAAGACTCTCATTCAAAGCTATCTATTGAGCTATTAATTTAAATTAATTAACTTTGTATGAGTTTTGACAATATTTTTGTGAAAAATTAATTTGACATCTTAAGTATTGTATCAAATAAAAATAATATAATATGAACGCACGCTTTCAAAATACGATTCTTGAAAAATATATAAGCTCACATCCATGTTCTCGCTCCCGCTTCACGAACCAGTGAGCTAAATTTGAGCAATAATATTCACAAATCATTACGGAGTCACCCATAAATCATAATCATCGTTCAAATATCAACTATAATAGAAACCTCATAAAAAAAAGTCACTAATAGACTGCGAAAATCAGAAAGCGAAACGTGTATTGTGAATCCTTGAATATAAATATATTGTGATCCCTCCATCCCTCTTCATTACCTCACAGATTAAAGACTGTTTGCAATCCAATTCAAGCCTCCGTAACAGTATTACCTCAACAGCCCACAGTCATGTTGAATTCCATTTCTCAGAGGCTGCAAGGCAAGGTCGCCCTGATCACCGGCGGCGCCAGCGGCATCGGCGCCGCCACCGCCAGGCTCTTCGCCAAGCACGGCGCCAAAGTCCTCGTCGCCGACATCTCCAGATCAGAGACCAGCGTCGCGGACGACCACCCGGCGATCTCCTACGTCCACTGCGACGTCAGCAAGGAGTCGGACGTCCGGGAAGCCGTGGACGCCGCCGTCTCGATGCACGGGAAGCTCGACGTGATGTTCAGCAACGCCGGCGTGGTGGGGCGCAACAACCTCAAGATGGACATCGCCGCACTGGATCGGGACGACCTGGAGCGCGTGTTCGCCGTGAACGTGTACGGCGCGTTCTACGCCGCGAAGCACGCGGCCAGGGTGATGATCCCGAGGAAGCAGGGTGGGGCCATCCTTTTCACCGCCAGCTACGTGACCGGGGCGTTGGGGGAGTCCGGGCACCCTTACGCGGCGTCCAAGCACGCGACTGTGGGGCTGATGAAGAACCTGACCGTGGAATTGGGGCAGCACGGGATCCGCGTCAACGCGCTTTCCCCCTACGGGATCCCGACGCCGCTGTCGATGGGAGCGACCGGGGTGACGGACCCGAAGCTGATAGAGGCCGGGGTGACGGCCAAGGTTGGCTTGGGCGGGGCGGTTCTCGAGGCGAATGACGTGGCGGAAGCTGCGCTTTACCTTGCCAGCGAGGAGTCCAAGTTCATCAGCGGGCTGAATATTATGGTCGACGGCGGACAGCACCTCAAGAGTGCCTGATTTGGGAAGGACCGACGCCAGGGACGGATGCTCAACAATGATTTTTTTTTTTTTTTTTTTTTTATAAGGGAGCTAGGCTCAGCAATCATGAATGACTACTCTTGTCATATTGTGTTTTTTTATGTCACGGATATTCCAAAAAATAACAGTCACATAAGAATTACAAAAAATAAAGATGCTAACGTCGGTCAACTATCATATCAATAAGAGAAACTTCTTTTTGTTATGATATGGGAAAGCTCATTAATTATTATCTTTTTAGCAAGTGCATAATCTTTAACTCAATTAGATTCAACTCTTATTTGAAGGAAGAAAGTCATGAACAGTGGCGTGTAAGAAGAACGCAATACACTGAAACTCGACAAATGTAACTGACAAAATAGCACTCGTCAATACAACATTATTAGATATAGAACAATTAAAATCACTGAAGAGGATACAACCTCACAGTTCGGTCACAATGCAATCCACCTGCAAAACGAGCAAACAAAAATAATGCCCACTGCAACACTATAAATCCCCATCTATATTCCCGTCAAGAGGTAACAACACACTCAAATGGAACTCTACACATAGTTCATTAGATAAAATCATGGCAATAAATGTGAAAGTCATGTATAATTATACGATGAAAAACTTATAACTAGAAGTAAATCAATATATAATGTGTGGACATAAACAACAGCTTTAAGGGTGAACGAGTATATGACCAAGAGATAATAAAGTATCGATAGAATTCTGGTCAATAAAATTCGTATATAGGTGATTCAATGCCTAGGCAAAGGAACTACCAAATGTGGGCAGTTCGTTCTTTTTTTGTGTGGGATAGAGGTGAAAAAATGAGAGAACTTACCTGTGAGTGCGCCATCTTGGTAGATCAAGGCTCGATAAATTTGTAGTGTTATCCCCATTGAAGACTCCAGATATGCAAAACAAAAAAACCTAGCAAACATCATTCAGCTTTGATAAATACAGATGACATGCATCAATTCGGTCAATACTCTAGCGCCACCACCACATCATGGAGATTATGAAGATGAGATTGCATCCTTGAGAGCACTCATGAAGAGACAGGAGAAGAACTTGCTCATATACCATACCATGAATGAGCAACATTGGGATGCCATTGAGAAGGAGAGACAGACAGAGCATTAAGAGACTCAAGCTTGGCGCCAGAGGATAGAGCCAGAGCAGTAGTGGGGCCGTTCTTGTATGGAGGACTTTGGCAGGAAGTTTCACAACATCTTCCTCGAAAATGGACCCCTAGGACCTAACATTTAGGAGTATTAAGACTTTGAGGAAGCTTTTTTTCTTCTTTCTTTTGATTTAAACATCTGGAGTCTTCTTTTGATTTAAACATCATGGAGAACTAGCTAATATGAACTATGAATTCTGATTTATAACTACAATCAAGGTAACTCGTTCCAACCATACCATGAATCACTATCTTTTAGTCCATTGAGGACAACGTTCATTTTAAAGTGTGGGGTGAGAATGTGTTGAGATGCTTTGCCTTTATATGCTTACTACTTGCTATATGATAAGTTGTTCAAAATTGAAATTTTCAAGGTTAAATTTTGAGTCTCTTATACTATCATAGAGAACTGGCTAATATGAACTATGAATTCGGATTTAGAACGGCAATTAAGGTAACTCGTTCCAACCTTGCCATGATTGATCACTATCTTTTAGTCCATTATATTAAGGCCAATGTTCATTTTAAAGTGTGGGGTGAGAATGTGTTGAGATGCTTTTCCTTGATATGCTTACCAATTGTTACATAATTAGTCGTTCAAATTTGAAAAAAATCCAATGTTAAATAGTTATGATACATGCTTAAGAGTGTTTGGAATTACTGAACATGTTTTTCATCTAATGACTTTTAGTTATCCTCTACAAGCATGATCACTTCTCATCTTACTTTGAATCAATGAGTCTAGTATTCATCACTTGATATAGGAAGAATATCAATCTCATATTTGATACATCTTCCCCTTTTATCAATGCATATTTAGTACTTTCTCTTATATTGCATACCTTAATCATAACTATTTGATCAAATGACATTTATTCTAGGTAGCTAAAGCTCGAGGAGGATGGCCTTAGAGGAAGGGGTTAGATTGATACTATGGCTAAGTCATAGATTCATGATATGATATTGAGAATTATTAGATGTGATGATACTCGAAGTTCGCCTTCATGGTCAATAACGTACCTTTACTTTTATGCATCTACATAACTTGAAAAGCAACTAATTAAACAGCTTTACTCTTCTTGCTGTGTTTTGGTTTACTCAAATGAAAATCGCTAAATGTCTTTACTATTTTTGTTCAAGCATAGATGGTATGATGTGATTAGTTATGTATTAGAAGACCTTGTAGAATACGATCCTAAGGCATCCTATGCAATGTTGTCAAAATCGCTTTTTAAAGTTTAAAAACTTACGCTTTTACGATATGGGGTCACCGAAACGCTTCTACGCAAAATCTAAGCTTTTATAACTATTGTATTAAAACCACGCTTTAAAGTTTAAAAGCTTACGATGTTACACTTCTTGATCACCAAAACGCTTTTACGTAGAAACACACTTTTGACTACATTGTCCTATGACTTTTATCACTTGCATGAATATCACATCATGTGCTCCAGTATTTCAACTTCAACCGTGACTTCGATGAAAAACATGATTTTGCCGACTCTCATCTTCCACTTCTCCGTGGTATTGTTGTCTCTAGGAGGCTCTTGCGTCTCATTCCCACCAATATCTCCATAATCGTCAGGGCCGACCCATAATATTTGGAGGCCCTGTTCGAAAATAAAAAATGTGCCCCAAAATTTTTTCTCCGCAAATTTATTAAATAATAATAATAAAATATAGGAGTTCAGAAAATGGTTACAAAAGAAATAATATCATCAATTATTGTCTCATTACACATTAAGCATGGATGAGGTCTCATTATACACAACACTACTTTATACAAGGAGCTATTTGCTGTGTTGTGCTTATTATATCCGAGTCTTATTTATAGGTGTCAATCGGGCGGGTCGGGCTGGGTTCAATCGAGTTGCGGGTTAGTCGGGTTTTGAGTTCGTCGGGTTGTGGGTTTATCGGGTTCGGGTTCAATCGGGTTTTGAGTTAGTCGGGTTGCGGGTTCAATCGGGTTCCGGGAAAATTGGGTCCGGGTTCATCGGTTTGGATCGGGCGGGTTGCGGGCTGTTCGGGTCAGCGCATCGAGTAACTTACTCCTTACTCTTTACCAACTTACACATTTTATTACACTAATTTAATATAATTTTCTCAAATTTTAACCAATTTCTTTCTATCTCGTATATATATACTTAATTAAAAAACTAATTAAAATATTGAATCAATTTGTATGACTTGTAAACTTGTTATGTAATTAATTGTAATTGGTAAAGTACACTAAACCATCAATTCATTATGTTGTTGATCATATACCCTAACCATTACTAAATTATACACTAACCATACCCTATACCCTAAACCAGATATCCTTATGAGTTGTGATCTAGTATAGTTAATTTAAAATGAAATTCATACTTTGATTTTCAAAACATAGATAAAAATGTGATATTTGTTATACTCTAACCATATATCCTATACTCTACACCATATACCTTGTACCCTAACCACGTACCATAAACATAAATTAAGAAGGAATCTACCATTAAAGACTTCAAATGACTTCAAGTGAACATATGTTAACAAAAAACTTAGAACCGTCAAAACCATCAATACCTTATACGCTAACCATATACACCCTAAACCATATGTATCTTATACCCTATACCCTAACCATATACTTTATACCCTAAACAACGAACCGTCAAAGATTACTTATCAAGTTTAGTATAATTATGAGCTCATATTCACCCGCCCATAAAATTTTCATTCCAAAGTTACCAACCAAACCTCCCTCTCATTTTCCATTCCAAAGTGACTCGCAACCCGATTAACCAAAATTTTCAAACCCGCAACCTGACTGAGTTATTGCAATCGTATGACTTAACAACCCAATCTTGTTATTTTGAACATTTCTCTTAATATAAGGTATTTTAACAAGTTCATATAGTTATATCAATCTTGTTAGTCTAATATACATAATTTAATCTTTTGCGCCCTAATACTCATAAATTCAATTAGTTCATGAAATGAGAAAGTATATATAGATGCTATTATAATTATAGTATACATAATTTTGTTAGTCTACTATAAGTTTATATAGAAGTCTAATATAATAATAACTTAATCTTCTAACTAGGGGTCGAATCAGACGAAATTCAGGAAAACCGCGGTCAAATAGTGAAAGATATCTCAGTAATTGTTATCATCATTCTTTGTGGGTACCACAAAGCAAGTAACTAATTGATCTTAACTGGTAAAGTACATTTAAAGTGTTACTTAAAATATACTTTATACAACATAAATAAATCATGGCTTTAATCAACATTTTAACAAAAAAAAAAGTTGAAAAAACTAACTATTTAAGCGTTAAATATATATTATTATATATTTACACCTTACACACTTCTATGTTTTAAATTTCTTAGATGTGCATTGATATTTATACTAGAAAGAAATGATATCAAATGACACTAATTTTTTAATATTTGTATTTTCGGTTAAAACTATAACCGACACAATTGCCTACTTATTTGTGAATTAAGTAGGTTTCTAAATGCCGCAAAGTGACAAATTTTTTGGCCATATTCCAAAAATTTATCCCCTAATTTCCTCCAACAAAGTAACTCTACACAATAAATAAAAGGCAAATGAGAAAACTTGAAGCCCCATTTCAAATTTCCTCCATCCAATGTGAAGATAGGAAGACATTTTGGCCTTCACAATTACTTTTTCTTTATTCATTAAAAAGACACTTACTAGGATTCGAACATGACCACATTAAAGAAAATAAAAAATCATAACCAATCACACTAAGTACATTTGTTGTATCTTTTTAAATTAAAAACATATAATCGGAGAGGAGAAAAAACCCTTCCCCCATTTCAAATTCTCTGCTCCATGAGCGTTTGTAGGAAGGGTAGAATAGGGAGTGTCAATTTTTTTTCTTTTTCCTCTATGGAACGGGCCAACTTACCGTACACATGCGGATTTAAACGGGTCCAGGAGTGTCAAATGGCCGGAGGAATGTGAGGTATGAAATTT